CCCCAAAACCCCAAAACCCCAAAACCCCTTGATTACTTCATCTCAAATTGAAGTAATAATCATAATTCTTTACAATTCAATAATCTATAAAATGGAAAAGACTAAATAGGAAGACCTTGATTTTATTTTCAGTAAATTCTCAGAAGTTGTTAGAGATAAGCTCGAAGGTCACTCAGATACTGTCAACTCTGTAGACATTCTTGATCCATCAAAGTCAATAGGGAAAAAGCTTAATACTGAGTAGAATTATCTCTCGAAGCAATAATTTCACGAGCATGGACTATTACTTTCTGCTTCTGCTGATAAAACTATGGCAATATGGGATCTGAGGTTGAATAAAAGAATCATGATGATTTAAGATAGCAGCCAAATAGTTGATGAAATAGTTAAGGCTAAATTTATGAGTGATTCACATGTTATTTGTGCTACAAGCAATGTTATCGGGTTATTTGATATAAGAAAACCAGCAATAATTTTGAAGAAACTCGATCTATCAACTTTGATTGGAGAAGATGAGGTTAATGATATAGATGTAAATTAAATGGATAATGGTGTCTTTTAAGTCACAACTTGCGATGATTTAGGCCAGGTTTACATTCATGAGCTTGATTTAAGCAGTGAGGTGCCAGGATTTAGTTTAAAGAATACATTGAAGAGTAAGCACACGAATATTTGCTTCAAAACAAAATTTTCTAAGAATAATCCATCGATTGTTTACTCAGCAGCTTTTGACTACAAATTAGTGTAATGGAATCTGAAGGATCTTTCGAAATCATCTTCTAAAAGTATAATAGATATAATGAAGAAAAATTTTGGAGAGGATTCACTTCATTACAATCCACCTTTCATATATAGTATGGACACTTATTAAGTTAGGGATAGCGAATTCATTGTTGTTGGATTGGGTAATGGCTGCATCTTACGCTTTAAAAAGAAAAATTTAGCACTGGAGGAGATTGATGCTGATATACATAGAGATTAAATCTCAGCTCTAATAATAGATAAAGTGAATAATATCTTGATAACAGGATCAAATGATCTTACAGTCGGTTTTCACAGAATGTCAGATGATAGACTAATTGAACAAACTCTTTTAAAAGTTGAGGTTGAAAATAAAATAAATGACATGGCTATGAATAAATCTTTCAGAGAACTATATGTGGCAGATTTAAGCAAGACAATATCAAAGTTTACAATTAGATAGTGAATAATAAATATAATTAAACGTGTTGAATTTTTTGTCAGGGATTTATGAAATTAATTTTTGTGTTTTAATCTTAAATCATCAATCACTTCGAATAAACCTGATAAGAGTCTAGATCACCTAGAATTTCTGCAATAATTTTGCAAGTCTTCTCGTCTGAGGCAGCAATCAAAGCAAGTTCCTGTTCATAAGGAACTATCAAAGCTCTGTTTGAAGGAGCTAGGTTGAGATTTGCTAAAGTAAGTGCTGCAAGCTTTGAAATTTTCTCCTCATTAGGCGTTTGTGATCCTGTTGCAATGAGACCAATAAGTCTTTCGATGCATTTCTTTTAATGAGCTATTTTAACTTTGAGTGCTGTTTTTCTATCACTTATAGTGCAAAGAATTTCTAGGCAACCTTCTCTAGTCTCAATGTTGCTGCTCATTAATAAATTGATGAGATTTTGAATGTCCTCATCCCTAACTTCTTCTAGGTATTCCTCATTACCAGCTGATAAACTTAATCTTCTCAGGCATTCTACACATTGATCAACTGTGATCTCAGTATCAGCTGTACTGAATAATCCAAATAAGGCGTCTACCAATTCTCTTCCACAGTTCAACTCACTCAAAACTAGATGTTTTCCTAGATTGGTTATTATGTCCAAGCAGTTAAAGGTAATTTCTCTGTCTATTAAGTCAACAAATAGTGAAGTAACAATATCTAGTAGCTTGAAGCATTTAATCAAATGATGCTCATTAGCTCTTATGAATGATAAGTTTCTGACAATCAATATAATCATTCTGAGGTGATCAATAAGTTCTAACTCAGTCACTTCTTAATGAAGCACAGTGACAAGCTTCTTTCTCTTCTTCCTGATTTCATCTAAGGCATTTTATTCCTCAAGGATCTTAATCTTAGGCTTTCTACCTCTAGCCTTTGGCATTTAGACAGCACTAGGACCTCCAAGTCCATTTTGCTATTAAGCAGCCAGTTCATCTAATAATTCTTTCTTTTTATCTTCATACTTGCCCTCTCTCTTTCTAATTTCCTTTGTAAATGTCCCGAATGTTTTATAGTCTAATTTTTATAGTCCTAGGGATGAGTTTTGCAATTAATTATCAGATTAAAGTATCTAACCTGCTGTTTGAGGTTAGCCAACCATAAGAGCGTCAACAAATGATGGCACATTTACAGCAATAACTTTGCTTTTCTTCTCGAAGGGATCAGAGTAGCTGAGACTTTCAATATTTTAGATACAGAATACTAGATAATTAGAGATACTTTCCAATAGATACGGCTGATTTTCAAGTGTGAAGTTTTAATTAGTATTGCATGAGAAAATGGCAAGTGTGTTTAGAGCCCAATTAATCTCTTTTGTTATTCTAGACTCAAAAGCAAGTACTAATCTCTTTGATTCAGCTTCTATCTAGGAGAGTTTTACTTTCTTTGTAACTTAGTACTTTGAATTAGGGTTAACTGAGGCAGGCTGAGATTGCATAGAGACTTAGGCTTGCTGATGAGTTTGGAAACCAGCATGATCATATGGATTCTTAGGCGGTCTGCCTACTCCTACATGAGGACCACTAGTCATAAAGTTTTATGCTTGAGATCCATATCCAGAACCACCAAGAATGGGTTGACCGTAACTAGGTGGGATAGCAAATTGATTATTAGTAGAATGTGGGTATATAGGGGGATAAAATGCGCCAGATTGCCCAGCAGCTACGCCACTTGATAGTCCAATACCACCTTCACCGCCAATTTTGTCGGAAATATCCAAATTTGTCTGGCCTAAGAAGTATTTTTTTTCGTATTAGAGCAAGCATTTATTATAGTGATTTCTCAAGGTAAAGCTGGCACTAGTGCAACTAGATGGTATCTCAAACTCATTGACGATCTCCTTCCACAGCTTATTATTTGAGACTCTCTGACTACCCCCTCTTGAGATGACTGCTTTATATAGTTTGCAAAGATCTAATTCTTTTCCACCAATGGAAGGAACCTTGAAATTCTCCACGCCTAGCTCTCTTTGGAATTTGATGAGATGTTCTTTGAATTCCTAGCACTTTTTCTTCTCATCCTCTTCATCTAAGAATTCCAAATTCTTAGGCATCTAAAAGCTTGAACTCGATTTCATCTTAAAATTGTAAATAAGTATATTATAATTAATATGATTAACTCTGACTTCACATATTAAGTTCTACTTTATACTCTTGGGGTTTTGGGGTTTTGGGG